TGAAATTATGTAGATGTTACTGGATATTGATACCTTTCTGGAATGTCCTATACCTGTAAATATCAAGGTATTAAGAAATCTTTTGGATGCTACTAAATATAGAAGCCAGTGCAATCTCAAAGGTTGTCAGTAAAGATGAGGGTCTCTCTTCCCTCCCTAATCCCTCCATTTCTCAGACTATAGCAAGACTTGGTAATAGAAGATAATTCACTGCAATCTTCTCCCTGACTCCTGTCCAGAGTCCATGACTTTCTGCCTTATGGATCAGGCTGTTTCAAGGAAAGAAGGAAGGAAGGAAGGAGACCCAGGGGAAGACAAAACCACTGAGGCTTCATCCTTAACCACTCCCCACTGTGGAGCATGGAGACAATGCAAACAGGACTGTCCTGCGCTGAAATGAGGGACGTGAGGATGGGGAAGAATCACAAGCACATCTATCATGGGCAGGGTGGAACAGGATAGATCCAGTGCAGGCAAAGAGAAAAAAAGCTATGCTGCTTTTTATACATCAAAAGCCATTATCACAACGGGAACCTAATCTGACAAACAATTTAAGGCATTATTTGATGCCCATACACAAGGAAACTATTGTACAAATGAACATTAATATAAAGTTAAAGGATATGTCATTTACTCAAAGCTGATTATATGCATTGATAAAGGCCTATAAGACTTTATTCCACAACACCAAAACCAATGAGAACATTATCAACAATTTCAGTGAATGCAGGTGCAACCCTTAAATGCTAAATTTACTGCTTCTTCATTGCAAAAGGTCATTTACCAACACTTGAGTATGTATAAAAGGGATACTTGATCCTGCCATTGATTCTGTACAGACACTACCTGAAACACATCACTTTCACATGAGAAATATTAGACATTAACATACACTTTTTGAAATCTTACTGCACTCTAGAATCTCAATTCATATTCTGTTGCATGTGGTACTTTATACTGATGATGTATCCTTGACTATAAATATGAAACCTGAAATTCCCAAGATGCCCTCAAAGAATTCATTGATCTTAGAGCAATAACAATGATAGGAAATGCAAGGAATAAAAACAAAGCAATGAGATAGTTTTACACATAATTTATATATACACCAATAACTGTCCCTGAAGGTTCTGTTTTCATTATCAAGTGGAAAATGCCCAAGTGAAGTACTCATAAAATGTAAGCAAAATGTTACATGGCATCAGAAGGTTACATTCTAGAATGGGCATTTAAACGCTTACAGCAGTAGTACTGTCATGAATATCCATGACCAAAGAGAGACATGTAGCACTTCATGGATATCTGTGAATTTCAGAATGATGAATTTTACATCATATGTTCATAAAAATGCATAACACCTCGTGTAAGATTCATGAGCCACCACAGTTTCTTCTGAAAAACAATTAAAGCTTTCATAAAAATTATATTAACAATATACAAACTATGGGACTCAGTGCAATAATTGTTTTAAAATATAGAGACTGTACTGTTTTTTCGCTACACATCACTAGAGGTTATTAAATATCCAGTTCAACAGTTAAGGAGATTTACCAACTAACACTTTATATGAAAATTCTTTGCCGTGCCTATATTCTACACCAATCTTCTAAATGTATTAAAAGTTTGTTGACTTTTAATACAGGGTAAGGTGGACCAGATGACAAATGGGGAAAGTAACAAAAAATTGCCTTGCAACAATCCAGATAAAACTGATTTAAGCCAGAATAATTCATATATTCTGTCCAAAAAATAACAATAAAAAAAAAATAGGAGGCAATTTTTTGACAAGCAGGTCTCTAACCAGAGGCAGTATTTGCCATCACTTGATTCACTCATGTGGTGTTCAAAGGTCAGGTGTTGTGCTGGGGAGGAACATAGCCCCAAAGTCACTGTTTGCCCTCA